GTATGGGGCAATTTTTATCAGGACTGCCAAGTAGAGAAAAATGTTAAATACCCCTGCAAACATAGTGCTGACAAGTTCCTGCCCCTTAAAATATGTAAATGTACCTTTAACGTAACATGTGCTTTGGTCCCCTAATAAATGAATACTGAAGGTGCAGAGGTTTTAGATGTCTTGGAAAACTAATATATTAACTATCAAATGATAGTTACAGACTTCTAAGCAAAGATCCCTTTACCCTGTGCAGTCAATATAGCTTGCCCGGAATACTGTACAGAAGCTTTCAAGCAGCTTTTGCATCTTTTGGCTGTAATGCAAGCAGGTTACTATTCCCACAAAGAACAAAAAAACTTGAGTAGTCCAAGTAGTGCAGCATTTCTTAAATGCTGCTCTGTCTTAATATCCACTTAAGACAAATCGTACAGGATCCATATTTATTATTAGGCTATCAAACAGTTGCAGAGGAAAGACAATGGTACTGGAAGCAAATGCATCTTATTTCACTAAACTTGAGTAAACTAAGCTGATGGATCTTAAGCAGGGGTCAGCAAACTTTTTCAGCAGGGGGCCGGTCCACTGTCCCTCAGACCTTGTGGGGGGCCGGACTATATTTTGGAAAAGAAAATGAACAAATTCCTATGGCCCACAAATAACCCAGAGATGGATTTTAAATAAAAGCACACATTCTACTCATGTAAAAAGACCAGGCAGCCCCCACAAATAACCCAGAGATGCATTTTAAATAAAAGGACACATTCTACTCATGTAAAAACACTGATCTCCGGACCATTCGCAGGCTGGATTTAGAAGGTGATTGGGCCGGATTTGGCCCCCGGGCCTTAGTTTGCCTACCCATGATCTTAAGCAGAGTATTATTTTCACAGACTATGGTCAATTGCCCCCAGCTTACAAAATGTTCTTGCTGCAAGGTGCAGCTAGTATAACACCGTGTTGCGGAACCATACAGAATGACGGCTACTCCTTTAAGGTTTGGAGCAAGAGTGTTGCATGCATGGCTGCCACAGCATTGCAGTGTGTGATGCAGAGCTGTATTATGGACTGCATGCATAGCTTTATCTGCTGAAAGATGTTGCTTGAAATAAAAGGAAGCAATCTTTTAAGAACTACTTCTAACTGGTCAAGTGGGTTTCCTTTCTATGAAAACATGCTAATAATATGAAAGAACAGTAGATCTTAAGGTGTGACATCTGAAGAGCTGAGAGTCTAATGCACTAAAGATCAGGTATGAGAGGCAGCAACCTGTTTTGGCATCTGTTAAATACTTAATGATTTAAGTATGCTTCTGCTGATCTTAATACCTTGGTTTTAGTGATACATTGATTTGCTACTTTTTCTATTGTGGATTTCCACATTTATGATTTGAATATAGTATTTTGACATTTTTGTAAGCTGCCGTGGAATTTAATCATGAAGGGTGGTATATCAACATTTTCACCTGCACCCACTGAAATGAGATTCACATGAGGTCCCCCTCCTGTGTACTAGGATTTAGTTTCACTTTCAAAGGATCCTGGTTTGTCATATATAAACCAGGGATTGTGTGATTTAAAACTTAACTCTGGTCAATTTCTAAGCAAACCAACTTCAAACAAAGCTAGCTTGTTTAATTAGCTGGTGCTTATTTTAAACCAGTCTACAAGCAAGGATTCATTGAAAGTGAAACTAAATGCTAGCAAAGTCCATGAGCTAGGCAGGGTTTCCTAAACTTGGGTCTCCAGCTGTTTTTGGACTACAAATCCCACCATCCCTAGCTAGCAGGATCAGTCAAGCACATAATGCAAAACCATGGTTTTAGCAGTAAGTGCAAAGCAGCCTTTTGTCTAGCTGTCTCATTCTCAGGTAGAAAATAAAGGTCAGGTCATTCATGAATGTTACTTTCAGTCAATCTTATTGTGGTTTTTATTTTGAATATAACAAATAATAAAACAAACAAAAAGACCATGAAACTGAATACCTGAAAAGGTAACTGAATGTAGAACTTGAGAAATCAAAATTTAAAAAGAAGCATACAAAAAAGCCACATATATTTAAACGATCCCTTTATAGAACAAATTCAATAAAAAACAAACTGAGTGGTAACAATGGGGAAAAAAATAAGAGCAATGTTATCCATTTGCTGCCAATAAACCCCTTTAACACTCTGGTTTAGCTCAATGTTAGTGAGATTAGCATTTTTTTAATCCAAAGGAAGCACAATGTATCCAAGAGAAATGTTTCATTTTCAATGTTGAGAAAGTTTCAAAGCACTGCTAAATAAATTAGAACAGATGAAAGTGCAATTGTATGAGAAAGGAAATGGCTTCCTCCTTTTGCCAAGATCATTTATCTGCTTTTCAATTAGATGAAAACTATTTGGAGAACATTTGCACATTCTAGGAAATGTGAAGTATAAAAAGGAAGCAAAATGAAATGTAAAGAGCCAAGCTAATCTCTGCACAGAACCATGTCATTCTCAAACAATATCAAAAGAATCACACAAAATGTTGGGTGTCAGTAAATCATGTACATTCTAGTTTATTCACTCCATTCAGCATAATGTGATGTAGGTTGTTGGAAACTATTAATCTGGAATCAAATATGACATTTCGGCTGAACCTGCACCTGAAAATAGAAACCCAGTAACACTTTGTCAGGGTAGGAATATTCTCCTTGAATTCATCTGGGCCTGCTTACATGTCTAATAAACGTCATATATTAGTGACAAGTCATTCAACTTGTTCAATGTCTTCCTTTGCCTCAGATTCTGACATCCCTCAGTTAACTGCACACGTTTCATTTCATTTTGGAATAAACAGCACTCCCTGACTTTTGATCATACTTCCATCCCAGTATAATAGTCGTGGGAGAAGGGGGCCCTGATATTTGTTACTATTTGTGCCGGACAAACCTACAGTTGCTCTCACCAGCACCTCTTCATTATCTCTGTGTGCAAACATCTAGTTTAGGAACATAGGTATCTGCAGGTTATTACTGCCATTGGGGTTGGCTATGCAAGAGAAGAAATTGCTACCAATAAATTCCGGAATCTGTAATACCATGATCTATGTGAGAGAAAGGTTTGTTTAGTGCAGAAATAATATTAAATGGCTGTTTTCAGCAAATGTTCTATGGCAAATTGCCTGGATATGTGAATTGCTCTTAATGCATTAAATAGTGAATACTTGTTTTGCAGTGCTTGACAGGTAGCTAAAAATAATATAACTTTCCCTTAAAAAAGTTAATGTAAGAATTTGGATGTGTAGTCACATTTATACATGTAGTCACGGTTATACATACCTACTACCATCCTTGCCTTGGGCTGCATATACGCTATACCTTTAAAGCACATTTGAAGCACATTTCCCCGCTCAAAGATTCTAGGCACTGTAGTTTGTTAATGGTTGCTTGAATTTGTAACTGTGAGGACTAAACTATGGTGGCCTATAATTCTTTGAAGTGGAACATGTGTTTCAAATGTGCTTTCAACGCACCGTGTGTCTCAGTATGTGTTCTTTCATGAAGCGGAGTTTTGATATAATTTGATAGATGACAGAGAAACTTGACACTTGAACTTCCACATGGAAAGTAAACGTGTGGGGGTGTGATTCTAGTTTACAGGGATTTTAGTTTTAAGATCTGGCAGTTCTAGCAAAGTGATAAAAGTATTTGTGGATGGTAGCTTTTATTTAAATGAATAGAATGAGCCAAAATCCAACAGCTGGAAATATTTAAAAGGCAGTTACAGTACTCATATCATCTCTCTCATATGGGCACTTTTTTCAACCCCTTCCAGTTTTGCAATTTAAAATGATTAAGGCCAGATTTTGAAGCCTCAAAGAGGCAAGAACATATATTCTTTTCCACAAACAGCCTTTTGTGTTCCCTTACATAAAGAAAGATAATGTGCTTCAGTCTGAGGAGAGAAATATATTTCAGGAGATCGTTACCACCTGATTAATATAAGTGAAGACAACAAAGCTGGTCTGATACCAAGCCAACTTTGTTGAATTCAACAATAGTGAATTCAAGGCCCTGCCTATCTTTGTATCATTTTTAAGTGAGGCCATTACAAACTCTGATGAAGATATTAACTATGATATCCAAGATGAAACATGATGGCTTGGATCCAGATTTTGTTACTGCTTATCGCAGCAGAAGTGGAGTTCCACAGGGGGTGTTCCACTGGTAGAAAGGGGGGAATATTTTTGCTGAGCTTCCTTTTCCTATAGCCCTTTGCATCCTCCAAATACCTGTGCCAGAGCATTAGAAGGAATTCTAAATCTGTAATACCATGATCTAATAGAGAGAACAGCTTCTGAACTGGATCAAAAGCTTTCCACTGATGGAAGGAGTCTTTCTGCTCATGGATGGCTAAGATTTGGGTCCAACCTCATGCCTTGCCACCGAAGAATACTGCTGACATCAATGACAGTTGTTTCCATATATGCATCTTGTAAGGTTGCTGTTCTAAGTACATGGAATTCCAATAAAAAAAGCTATCAAACTTACATTCATTTAAGCATTCCTGGACTGCTACTAGCTTCCTGACCTGGTTCTTTGCTTTGTTTTAATTTCAGTTCATTGTTATTTCTGGAAGCCTGAAATTTATCAAAGCAACGTATGATCATAATTACTTCCTTTTATATATGAGTGCCAAGTGGTGTGCTGAGAATACATCAGGAATTTAACAGTAAAAAGCATGGAAACTGTGCCAATTTAAATAAATTTGTGCAAGTGCGCAGACAAACCAGTCTCTCAAGGACATGGTCATGTTTCATAACTTTCATGGAATTCAGATTCAGCTCAGTAACAACACTTTTGCTGCTTTTTGTTTTCTAATGAGGTTTCTAAACCCTTTGCAAATACTTTAGTTGCTCGGGACAATGAGCAAAGGGAATACAGCTACAAAAGTAGCAAAGTTTCTTCAAACAGTAAACTGTTAAAAATAAAAATCAGTCATATTTTCTACGAGTTCCCAGTTCTTATCATCTTTGGTTCTTAAATTAAGATCTGACGAGTTTGAAGCCTTGTCCTGTGTCCAAAACTGTGGGAAGAAACCAATTCATCTTAAATCTTTTCAAACACCTAAAGCAAGCTTTGCAAACCCAAAAGATATTAAGACCACAGAACCAGTTTGCCAGATGAATCAGTGGGTAAGTGATGCGTGGGAAATATATCATCCAGTGTTTGGCAACATCACTTTCACTTGGCAAGTGCAATGTGTAGTCACTCCATCGCTTTGACACGCCATACATGGCTTTCACAGTACGCCCTTTTTCAAACCAGCTGATGTCGTTGTCAGGATTACAGTTGTATTCAACCCATTCTCTAGTAAAATCACCAAGGTGCGGGAGGTCTGACTCTTCTGTGTCTACGACTTTGGCCAGTTCTGCTCCTTGAACTGCAACATACTGGTCGCTGACTTTTCTTACTTCTTTAACCCACGGCTGAGAGTTCTCACAGTCCAACAGTATAATAAGCCGTGAACAAAAAGAGCCATTCTTTTCTCTCCACCATTCTATAAGTGTGTCGAGTCGTAATGCATCACCACCTGTGGGGAAACCAGAAATATAATTGTTGCTGAAAATGAAACATTCACATGGGAGCTTAGCTTCTAACACAGCAGGTTAGGATGTAAAATACTTGCGGAACACATTTAATTTCCACAATGTTCTCATATTCAGATCAATTTCTAGACTGGTTGCATATGAAAAGGGTGCCATGCACGCTGGATTGAAGCTGTGAATGCTGGTGAATAGAGGACCCAAGCTATCAACTGTGACAAAAATAATTAAAAGAATAATTACCTCTTTGGGACCAGAAACTGAAAATATCCCTCCAATCCTTGCACCTATGGTTAATTCTGATCATAGCTGAGAAATTCATGCTTTTGGCACTAACTTAGTAAAGGCATTCAGGAACCACTTAAAAACTCACTTCTGCTTAGCTTTTTAATCCCTTGCAAATGTCTAAAAACTGTGACCCTTCACTAAAAGTCCATGCATCTAAAATGAGCAAGATGCCTTCGGCATGACCAGGTTTCCATGCTCTTGCTAGGAATTTCCATTTTGATCCTAAAAGAAGCAGCATGATATATAACCAGAAGTAACTGGAGCAGCCACCCTAACTCTTAAGTAGCAGAAGTGCCACTCGTGGGAGCAGCTGACTTTTAATTAGGAGAGATGTTGCCCTAGGGCTTTCATCAGTTCTTTTAGGAGCTGTGATAAAAGAAGAAAAACAAAACAAAGCTCTGAACTCCTCAGTTGCGCTAGTCTAGAAAAATGGTCAGCTTCCAGTGGAATTTTCTTATTTAATTAATTCACAAAGTGCTACTACCTTGTTTAAGAAACAATCCATGTACTTTTGTAAACCAAGAAAATATTTAATAAAAATTATTTTAAAAAATAAATAAATAAAGATTCCAGTAATTCATTTGTAATGAACAAGATAAATGGCAAATCTCCCTTTGTTTGTGCATTTCGGGAACTGAGTGAATGCTATCAAGTAATATTGCTAAAATATTGATGTTCTGGGGTCTCTCCAATAATAGTTTCAAAATCCTGAAAGAACACTGCTGATTATATTCAGAAGTGTTTCTGGGCCTAAGTAAGGAAACACTACTTGAAAAGCACACACGTCCCGTCCCCCCCCCAAATCATGTGCTGTGATCAGAATCTTTAAATAAAACAAACTGTCCACATACTTCTCTTAACACAATATAGCTACTTCCTGCTTTCTCTACAGTGGTGCCTCGCAAGACGAAAAGAATCCGTTCTGGGAGTCTCTTCGTCTAGCGGTTTTTTCGTCTTGCGAAGCAAGCCCATTGACGGATTAGCGGATTAGCGCTATTAGCGGCTTTTAGCGGCTTTTAGCAGCTTATCAGCTTATCGGATAAGCAGATAAGCGGCTTAGCGACTTAGAAAAAGAGGGGGAAAAGAAGAAAAAAAACCCAGGAACTCGCAAGACATTTTCGTCTTGCGAAGCAAGCCCATAGCAGATTCGTTTTGCGAGGCACCTCCAAAACGGAAAACTCTTTCGTCTAGCGAGTTTTCCGTCTTGCGAGGCATTCGTCTTGCGGGGCACCACTGTATTTGCTCCAAACAAGTGCTGTAATTCTAAGCAGAATACATTATTATACATGCACATTTGAAGAGGTGGCAGTTAAGCAGGCAGTTCCAGTAATACAGACAAAGCTTAACTGCCCAAACCTTGACGCTGCGTTCAGTCAGTGAACTCAACTTTCCAAGCTGTTTTGCTGCTCATGGTTTATTTATGACTACTTAGCAGTTTATTTTACACACCACTGTTAAACTACCAAGCCTCCAACAATGAAATAACATCATTAGACAAGTCCAATACAGTAAACCTTCCTTAAAGATGTCATTAGAGTCCCAAGTCTATGCTGCTCTGCTACACAGAGCTATTCCTCAGAGGATCCTGTTCATATTTGAATATTAACTTGATGTTTAGATTTTCATTCTCACCAATTCTTTTTAATCTTCTCCAGAGGTAGGAGACTCAATACACTGTCTTGAATCCAAAGAACTGGGCATGAGCTGAAATTCTCTTACCTCCCCTCTCCTGCAGGATACATACCGTTAATGACGGCATGTTCTACCTAGCACAGGACATCAAGGACTGATAAAAGTGGCACACTTACAATATCAGCCACTCTTCAGTTCTGAATTCTGGTTGTATTCAAAAAGCAGGGATAGACTGTATGCTATGGTTTTCACTGCGAGAGCTAAGTAAACTGATCAAAATCAATCTGTCACTGGTGCCCCTTTCCTTCTTCTGACTATGCCATATTTTCTTTAATGCAAATTCTGTGAAGTGCCTAAATACAAGCTTCGCATATGACTGTCAAGGAACTTCTTCCTGTTCCTCCGTTATCACTTTCTCTTGACATTTTGATTATAACTGCTCCGAACTTTGTGTTAAGCCTCTTCAGATAACAGCAGCAGCATGGAGTGCTTTTAGTCAGCTACAACTAACTGAAATTGAGGCAATAATCTTGCACTCATTTGCAATTTCCAGTTTTGACTATTGTATAACAGACACTAGCTTAGATTCTTCAGTTATACTACTGCAGGCCCATTTCCATTAATGCATCTGCAAAGGTGGAATAGTATAAAATTGGGAAAAACCCAGAAATAATACAACATGAAAGAAGAGCAAATAACATCTCACTCCAAGCTGTTTGTGCTGGTTTTGTAGTCTGGAAACTCTTCTAAGAAACTAATAAGGGCAAAATTCAAAATATTGTGGTGTTTTGAATGAATATGCACCTTCCATGGCAACTTTTCAAAAGGTGTAATAATTAGTTAAGATTCCATATGAAAATTTCTAACACTTTATAAATCAAATGCACAAATGAGATTTTAAAACCCTTTCTACTCCCTCTACCATAAATACTCATAGTATTTATGATTCAAATGGATTATAAATTTCATAAATATCAAGTATCTAATCTTAAGACTTAAATATTCTTAAAGACAAAGAAATCAGAATTATGAAAAGCTTCAAACGTAGAATACCTGCAAGTGCCCATTCTCCAGTGCTGTGAGAATGGCCACTGTAATATAACACATAGGTATCATGTCTGGGTCCATCAGGGGTCCGAAGTTCAAGAAAAGATTTTAACTTAGAATGAAGGGTGTCAAAAGAAAGTCCACTTGTTGAATAATCACAGCCGTAAGTCTCTATCATATGATACGCAAAGAACCTTTGGATGGCATTAAGCATGCCAGTGGATCTCAAATTTAGCTCTTGTACATGCTCAGGTGGAAGCAGTGTTGCTTGGCCATCAGGACTAGAAGAAGCAGAGGGGAGAGAAGAAAAAAAAAGGAGAAATCAGCTTTGGTCATTAATGGAGGTAGTCCTTATGTTGCAACAATGGAAGTTACTCCTGTGTTACGTTGTTCACTACCCACAGCTGAGCTTTGAACCACTTCACCACTGTGCGGACTTACTTAGTTTAATTTAGAATGTTCAGTTACAAGTGTCTTAAAACAGGTCTCTAAATCACTGAGAAGATCTGTACTACTTAAACAGTTCTCATTTAGGTGGTAAATAATCCTCTATTAAGGTAAAGGTAAAGGGCTAGAGTCGGACACGACTGGCCCGTACGGGCAGGGGTACCTTTACCTTTTTTAAAGGGGCCGCTGACCATTAGGTCCAGTCGTGACCGACTCTGGGGTTGAGGCGCTCATCTCGCTTTATTGGCCGAGGGAGCCGGCGTACAGCTTCTGGGTCATGTGGCCAGCATGACTAAGCCACTTCTGGCGAACCAGAGCAGCGCACGGAAACGCCGTTTACCTTCCCACTGGAGTGGTACCTATTTATCTACTTCATGCTTTCGAACTGCTAGGGTGGCAGGAGCAGGGACCGAGCAACAGGAGCTCACCCCGTCGCGGGGATTCGAACCGCTGACCTTCTGATCAGCAAGTCCTAGGCTCTGTGGTTTAACCCACAGTGCCACCTGCGTCCCTTTAATCCTGTATTACCTACCAATTTAATTAGCTGTCTGGTACATGCTTAACTAACTTAACTGGTCTTATAAACAGAGTTCGGGAGGTGATCACCCACCCTGTGCTCCACAACCATGATGAGCTTTACGCATCCTCTTCTTCTCCATGTTCACTCCAACAGCAACCCCCATTCCACAAAGATGAGGTTGCACAGCACAGCGCACACAGATGGATGCAGCTTTATCCTTCTGTCTCCCTTACAAATGCAGAACTGAAGTCCCTCAGCAGGGTCTCCAGGACACAGCAAGGCCTGGTCATTTGCCCAGGGGCGTTACACCAATTAGTCTTCTCCCTGCCCTACAAAAAACCCTCTCTCTTTGTTCTCATAATGTTTAGTGTACTTTCTTATTAACAAATGTTAAGGAGGAAAGGCAGACAAATCATTACATCCACACACATAGTTGTTTGGCTCGTAACTATACTCACAGGATACTCCTGCCAGCAAGCATGGGGAACCCTATGCTTTCCCTATGCCCTCTGGAAATCTGCTCCTATGCACTCTGAAAATTTGCTCCAGAGGGTTGGGTGAACTTCCAGAACATGATGGGGGTACTTGCAAAAAACTCCTTCTGCCAGTGGACCCTCCAGTGGATTTAAATCCCTTCTTTTCACAGAGGGCACCTGAGGAGCTAAGTCAATATATTTAACTTTTCAGAGTACCATTAGGACAAAAGACGGGGAAGGAGAGGGGGGTTTGAAGTTAATCCAAATCTAAGTCAACAAATTAGTATTTAGTACAGTGGTACCTCTGGTTACGTACTTAATTCGTTCTGGAGGTCCGTTCTTAACCTGAAACTGTTCTTAACCTGAAGCACCACTTTAGCTAATGGGGCCTGCCGCTGCCACTGCGCCACCGTCGTGCGATTTCTGTTCTCATCCTGAAGCAAAGTTCTTAACCAGAGGTACTATTTCTGGGTTGGCGGAGTCTGTAACCTGAAGCATATGTAACCTGAAGTGTATGTAACCCGAGGTACCACTGTATTTAGTTGGTGAGGGAGAGACTGAAGTTGGTCTAATAACTTCACCTAATAAGACGTCTGCATTAACTGTTGACTTGTAAGGCATAATACCTGCAGAAATTGGTAGGAATCACAACTGCATAGCCAACACATGTTCCTCCCAAACAGTTGCCCAGTTCATGAAATAGTCCATGAGCCATGGATTCTAGTGGCAAGACAATCAGAAACACACTCATGAAGATTCCATTGAATTTCTAAAATAAAAACAAATGCAACCATTAGCTATATTATAGCAATTAGCACATATAAATGAAAAATCTGTAATTCACAATTTTTCCTCAGCAACCCTACTGTAAATAGTTCAGTATATAAACTGTAGTGCTAACAAGATTACTGTGTGGAAGTATATAATGGATTGCATGAGGCAACATGAAAACAACCTTGAAAATAGCAAAATATATTGATTTATTGTTGCTTATTAGAAAACTTACATGCTACCTTTCCAGTTCCAAAATGAAATATTCATGGTAGCAAAAATGGTAGCATTGCAAACTTATTGTGGGATAGTTAAGAATGACCATATTTAGCTTTCCCCACCACGGCTGCAATTAATGTCTATATGGAAAAATGAAGGGCTCTTGTGTATGCACTCTAAAATAAAACTAGCTTCCAAACTATCATACAAATTGTCATTTACTTTATGTTGAGCATAAAGTAACATCATCTGGTGTCTTCATTCCATTGCTGTAAACTGGCCACATCTTGCAGTTCATCTAAGCCACGGTGGAACAAAATAATGATGATGATAATAATAATAGTAATTGTATTATTTATATGCCACCCATCTGATTGGGTTGCTTGTTTGGTATGTTCAGGGACTCTACTACACATCAGATGCAGTAACTTGCTACATGCCATGAATTTTGATACAAAATCCCCCCATTTTAAGAGTAACAGAAGAGGATGTAAAACCATTATAACATACCTGCCAACATACAGTACCCAAAACTGCTGTTGAAAGAAGGCTAAAAAATACAAGTTGCTCTGAAATTAAACAAAAATGACGCATTCCTTTTGATGCCATAACTCTGTCAAGGCTGTTGTTCTCTGTCCTGTGTGTATAATATATTTTGTGGCAGTCATTTAATTTTGTATGAAATCCCCAGAGAGTTATAAGAAAAATGATGTGGCAGACCATCCAGAAAATTCCAAAAATGGAAAAGCCAGGTATCACAAAATACCAGACATCCAAATCGCCTAGTTTCAGGGCTGAAAGAATGAAATAAATAAGTTCGATAAGGCCAACAAATATGACTGAAAATCTCCGGCATACTCTACCACGATACAAATAGGGTTTCCAACGTTCTGTAACTGAAAGTCCACTGAAGTAAATGTCAAGAAGAGGATCCGTTATTAGACAGCTGAAAAAGCATCCCAAGGCGAATGGGTTCGTTGGTATGAGTAGGGATGGAAAAAATAGCCAAGAGGAAAGGACTCCAAAGATTACCAAATTTGGAATTGCCAGGAAAGACTTCATCCGTAAGTCAATAATCAGCATTGCCAAAGCCACCACCAACAAGATAATACTCATGGATTTTTTGACCAGCATGGTTGTGCTGGCAATTGCAAATCCAACCAGCTCAAGAAATTCAACTGTTGTCAGCAAAGTTGGTCGATGATGAATACAGCCACATATCCTCTGCACGAAAGCAAACAATATTCTTATGATTATGGAAGACAGCAGCAAATATTTGGTTGCTGCTTCTTTCACATCATTTTTAAAAGAATCATTATCAAGAAAACAGAGAAGGCCAAGTAAAAATCCAAACCAAAGATTAGAGAGACTTAAACTTGCTGCTTCCATTGAAAAATAGTAATAAAGTATACTGGCAATTCCAAGAACAAAAAGTCCCAGGATAAAAATTACAAGTATTAATGCATCTGCTGTCTGCTCCCACCTGACATAAAGGCCCATACATATTGCAACCAATAAATTAATTCTGGCTAAATAGCCCAGATACCGGACAGATGAGTGCATGTTCACTTCTCGGTTTGCCTCATCTAGTCTTGTCATTGCTGCATAGAGACAGTGGCTAACACAGTAACGCAATGATCTACACATGTAAGCTGACTCGTAGTGATTGCATTCAGTTCACAGGAAATAACTGTTTGAATTTCCGCAAATAAACGTGAAGCAAAAGCAGCCTCCTGTAGCGTTGCTTCATCAATAACTGCCAGGGATTACTGACGTACTGAAAGAAAAAGAAAAACCACATTAACTTCAAGTTACACATTTTAAACAAGTTTACAGATAAAGTAAATAGGCATGCTTATATAGTTATTATCAGCATTCAAATACTTAATATTCTAATTTTGGTATGATACATTAACAGTAATGCAGATCATATGTAAATCTTGTTTAAAAATATGTGCTCACAAGTGGCACCTACTTTAGATTCTGAATCTACAAAAATCCATGTTTTATACATTACAGGAATAAAAAGTTGAACAACCAAGTTGGTCTGAATGACCCAACGTGTCTTTTTCTAGAAACTGAAGCCTCTTTCAGTCTGATGGACTTTTAATGTTTTACACCTAATTTTAATGTTGAGTGCAACACACGCACACACATATACACACCCTTCCTGCTATTAGGTTTATGTGTTTGTTTTATTTATCAGATTTCACCATAAGATCCTAGGGCAAGTTACAACAATATACAATATACATTTGTTATAAAAACAAACAAAACCATTACAATAAAAATAAGTAAAACCATTCCAAATTGAACACAACCAAAGACGTGGTCCCACCATCTCCAGCATGCAGTGAAAGCACTACCATGAGGATGCTAGACTCACCTTTGTGGTGAGATTTATATTGATTTCCCCTCCTTTTGTTTGCCTTTGTATTTTTAAATGTGTGGATCACTCAGAGCTCAACTGGGCGGCAGATTATATATTTTTAAGGTAAATAATGTAAATCTGCGTAACCCGTCCTTTACTGTTAAATGTGCACACCTTGGCAGGCATAGGCAAACTTCGGTCCTCCATATGTTATAGCCTACAACTCCCACCACCCCTAGCTAACAGGACCAGTGGTCAGGGATGATGGGAACTGTAGTCCAAAACATTTGGAGGGCCGAAGTTTGCCTACGCCTGCCTTGGAGTTTTGATACCATGCCAAACACGCTCCCCCCCCCCCCCCATTCCTCTTTCTTCGTTGAACACCGAACCTGAGAAAGAATTCCGAAGACTTCGACAGCTCCATTTTTGGAAATTTTCTAGAGGGAGCTTCGCTATTGTTGCTTCTTGAGTTCTAAAAGACCTGGAGAAGAGCCCCTGTTTCAAACCTGAAAAGAAGAGGGGGAAACTTCCTTCCTGAGTAAATTTTTTTCAAAAAGTGACGTCGCGCCAGGTGCGCTGGGATGCAGGGCAACCTGGGCGCGCCTACGCGACGTCTGATTGGCTCCCTCCCCATTCACTCAACTTTCTTTCCATTCCCTCTCTACAGGCCTCTTTCCAAAAGTCTGCGCTAGTTCAGGAACCGCTTGTGGGGCGGGGGGCGGACCTTGGGGGGAGAAACCCATCGCAAGGCCCGGACTGGAAACACAGACGAGAGGAGCGCCTTCCTTTCAGCAAACGGACAGGAGGGAGAGAACCGTCCCCCCACCTGCCCAACCGCCACTTGTAGCCGAGGCTGGGCAAAGGCGCCGCTCACTTCTGAGGGGAGCCCCCCCTCCCCACCAAAGTGTGAGGGATGGGAGGCCGAAACCTCTTGTCTTTGCCCAAGGCACCCTACTCCGCCTCGCCTCCTCGAGCCCCATTTACAGCCGGGTGCCCCCCACCCCTCCCCGGCTGCCCCTTCACAGCTGAACTCACCAGCCGCCGCCGCTCACTCCGAAAAGTTCTCCTCCCGCCGCCATTTTGACGCTTCCTCCCCTGCCTGCCGCGGGTACGGGGAGCGCGAGGGCTCAAAAAGGCGACGCGTCCGGAGGGCGTTCGGGCGGGCCAGGCTGCTGACAGACAAGGAATCCCGGACGCCAGAGCAGCTTCTGAGCTGAGCGGCGTCGCTTTCCCACCCGCAGCCAACGGAGTCGCCTCTGTGGGACCCTTTTCCAGACGTCGCTTACAAGCCCTGGAGAAGATTGCCTGGGGGGAGACACGCCCTGGCTGTGTTTGCTTTTTTTACAGGCGTCTCCCGCTGCAAAGGGAGGCGTCGTTGTCCTGGGCTGGCAGCGGGCGGAGTGGCTCCCCCAGCACGGTCCCCAACCTGATCAAAACAGGGGCTTTCGGTAAGACGTCGTTGGCCTCTGGGCATGGGCAGAGTGCCTTCCAACTTGCTGAGGTGCTGCAAAGCTCTGAAGGTTGCCGTCAAAGGAAGAGAAGGGCTCCTGAAGGCAGGTACACCCCAGTTCATCTAGAGAAGGGTTTCCCAAAATGGGATCTCCAGCTGATTTCGCACTACAGTTCCCATCATCCATGACCACTGGTCCTGCTGGATAGGGATGGTCCGGAAGCAGCTGGAGACCCGAGTCTGGGAAACCCTGATCTAGAGGCTATATAGGTGGCAGGCTGGCCCAAGATATTTTGAAGCCAAGGGTGGATATTGCTTGACTGTAACTTAACTGAGCACCAAGAGCCTTGGGCCACTTGGTCTGCACACCCTGGTGGACAAGAGGCCACCTCTCACACAATCCAAACGAAATAATCTGTGGCATGTTCTAGCCAACCAAAACGGTAGCATCACATGTTCGCACATTCTATCTTAACAGCTCTTCCTTGAGAACAAGTTTGCTGCTGTCATAACAATGGCCAATTCTGGGCACAGGCAGTATAAATGCTTAAGAACTCAACTAATTTTAGAAAAGATGGTTTATTTACATTGGGTGCGAACAGTATTTATAGGGGAGATATCTGAAGAACACCTCTGTTTAATTCTATACCTTTGCAAAGTGGTAGCGGCCTTAATTTGGTGCATCAAAGACCAAAGCTCTTTAGTAAAATTGGTGCTGGAAGTCGCTTTGTTATTTAATATCTGTTATTGCTATTTAAGTTGCACAAGTTACAGGCTAGTAATTGCAACCTTTAAAAAGGGGAAATGATTAAGATTGTGAAAGTGACAAGTTAAAACAATTCTCAAAATATTTCATTCTAAACAATTCATTGTAAATAGGAACGCAAACTCAGTGGTAAGCGTCAGTGATGAATTCATATGTTCTACTACTTTTTTTTTGGAAATAAATAAGTGCACAAAGAGTGCTAAATATTTTTATCTGCTATATATGAACCAAAATATATTAGAAGTGGATAAGCCTTAATCTCTAAGTGAGTGTATAATGATTGATATGGGTAATATACATGTTATTTTAATTATATACTAAAAATTATAAAGTTTCCTACAGTTGATGTTTAAATATTATTTAAATCAGGTATATTAAAAATAAATAAATTGGTGGGACCAGAGCAAGGCACTATTAGATTGATGAAGTAGGCCCTTTTTCCCAGTTCTGAATAGCTCTAAAACATTTCTGAAGATTATGTATAAAATCTGGTATAAATATACAGATTATTATGGTTTGTGATAAAATGCTGCACTCACACTGTATACTTAGCAACAAGTTAATCACTGCAGTAGTGTCCTCACATAGCCAAGAGCAAACTGGGCAATATAGCACACACCAAGCAATACTTAAATGCTGTTTGCGTACCTTCTTTTAGTGTGCTCACAAAAAAACTTAGATGAAATGAAAACACAAATGCAATTTTTTTGTGCTACACATTCTTCCTTGCGTTGACCTGGATTCCTTTATTATTGTTAACCCTAAAACTCCCCAGATTTACACAGCTTTCTCTGTATTTCTAGTGCGATTCCAGTAACAAGTCCATTTAAAATAAAATGTGCCTGCAAATATTACTTGGGGGTGGTTAATTGCTCCAAAAGATTTGTTCACATTAGGGCAATTGGGAAAATAATAAAGTGATTCCTCTACTGAAGGATCCACAACACTTTCACCAAGCCATCAGATATTACTGGCCAACTTCTACCATTAAAAGTTTTAAACCATTTCACTTACATACATCATGACTTGAATTTCAGGATCTGAATGAATGATAAAACATTAACATGCACTATATAACAGAAATGCACCTATGCTTAGGAAGTCCTAGGGACCTTCTGCTAATATTAAACTGCACAACTTGCACATTTGAGAAGTATATATTTGGAATGAGAGAAAAGGTAGCACCAGCAAGGCAGCTTTACCTACTCCCAACACACACAAAAACACCCTAGGAAGCTTTTAAATAATGAAAAGGAACATCTAGCATTAGATGTAGGAAACCTTTACCTGCCTATGCAGCAACTATTCTTGGTTCAATGGATAATCAAACTAGGGCGTGATGCTTCTGAGTGCCAACTGCCACTCTACAAGATAGCAGTTATGACAAGCAGTATGACAGGCAATCACCCTGTTGTCACAGATGCAGCCCACCCATAACCTACTTTTGCCTGTGGAATTAAGTGAGTGAGTGGCCGGCCAAATCTGGGCCTGAGGCTGTGCCACAAAGCCTTCAGAGGGATCACACTGTCCTTTTCAGAAGGTAAGAAGAAACCTTACAATTAATCTGGTTTTCTTTTAAACATAAATTCCCTATGGTTACTTGCAGTCAAATCTGAACATTTATAGGTTTTTTTTTAATGTTACATGCAAGAGGTACAAAAAAAAAAAAACAACATGTTTACAAAGCAACACCACACTGTATGAAAGTTGTGTACAAAAAATACCTAACAGTATGCGAGATGTCAGTTTTGTGAAACATTAGTGTGACATTTTGGTGGGAGTGTAAAACTTGTACACATTTTTAAACACACAGAAATCCCTTTCAAGCTGTGTAGTGGCACTCCTGAAATGGCAGCTGACTGCTTAACACGAGGCCAACATTTATTGAAACTGCCATTTTATTTATTTTTAAATATATTTTATTGATTTTTCATTTTATGAAACTACAGAAACTATTGGGTCTTTTGTCTGTTGGTTTATATATTTCAACTTGAACCCACATTCAGACATGTGAATACAAATGCCTTTAATCTGATATGGAAGCTAGATATAGGAGTCCAAAAATTCTGGTGCAGTTTAAAAAATGTTGGTGCAGTTAATAAAACAGATTTTGTTTAAAAGGAAACAGTTCCACCCAGGATTAGATTTGTGAAAACAAGTTATACTTCATTTTTCTATCTGCCACCAAAGAAACCAGTTTCTTAGCTTGTGAACTTCAGAATTTTAAAAAAAGATTTATTATGCAGATTATTCATCTGGCCCTCCAAAACAATAGAGTGCCTTTATTTGTTTTCATTCATAGCTGCGGGAAAAACTTACAAATTACATTAATAAAAATATGTAGGATTATAATGAGGCTCAATTCAATACTTTGCTGATTTCATGCATCAGAGACTTCTGGAAGGGACTATTATGCAGCTTTGTACTGAACTACTTCAATGCAAAATATTTGTAACACAAAATACTATGAAAAACTGTAGTGTGGGCAATGATGTTAGTGTAATTAAAAAATGGCAAGGATATTGTACCTTGGAAGTTAACAAAAATAATAATAATCCCATATTTTAAATCTACCATTATATATGTGTGTGTTACATATCATTCCAACAGCATCAGGGACAAGAGAATCTAATCTCTTGCTGAAATGTTCTAATTGCAGTATTAAAGACAAGTAAAACCAATCTGCAGATATTTTCATTTTACCCTATCAAGATTGACTCAACCCAAACTTTGTTCTAGGTCCATTTTTTGTTCAAGTCAAACACTAACAGTGCATACTATAAACGTTCTGCGCAAACCTCTAAGAAATGCTAGCATGAACCTCAAAAATCATATCTTGAGATTTAAAAATATCACACCAAGAAACATTAGCATATTTGCAAAATCACAGTTCACAGCACTGGAGGGCGGAGGGGAAATTGTACCTTTCCGGAGTATTTTACCGATACAAATATTAAAGTAAACCCTGTTTATGCTATGGACATGAGCCATTCTGCATAAAACATGCACTTCAACTTTTCAATACAAGAATAAATTTTAAAATTCGTAAGTAGAAAAAAGTGATGGCTCCCAAAAACCTTTCGAATTTCCTTTTTGTAAATGCTTTCATGTGCAGAGCAGATGTCAGTATAGCAAAATTAGTTTTACAGTAAAGGGAGTTTGAACTTCATAGCATATTTTAATTGTTACATTAACTTAGAAGCAATATAGGATCTTCTAGCTCATAAAAAGGAATAGAGCTGGTCTGGCTTTCCCCAGAGTCAGAGTCATAAGGAGCATCTGGAAGCTCCATGAAGCTGTATGCCAGTTGTTCATCTTCTGCATCTGATCGGATGTAGCAGGAGTTATTAGAAAATTCCTCTTCTTCTATACTATTGAAATCCTGGGGGATGTACAACATCCCTGGGTAGTTCCTACTCACCAAGTCACTTGTTGTTTTAAGTGAGATCTTCCTAAATGCCATCAGGTGCATATGAGAAAATTTTGAGTACTTGAAACGTTTAAAGCCCAAGGATTCTATAGCAATTTTCCAGCTTTTCATCATCATAGCGTGGCGATTCTGATGGGAAGAGTCAGGAGTGATAATAAGCAGCAATCCGTTCAATACAAGAAGTTCGTGGGCCTTTTTGCAACATATCCATCGTTGATAAGGTGAAGGGAAGTAAGATAGGAGGAGGGAGAAGACCACAATGTGGAACAATTCTCCAGGCAGGGAATCAATAGGATTTTTTAGCTGTTTCAAAAAAGCATCTATGGCATCTTGCGCAAGCTGAAGAGGTTGCTGAATCTGAAGGTTCAAGAAGTCGCATTTATAGACGCTCTGCGAAAAGAAACACAGATGCAGCAATATACTTAGATGGTGCAAGCCAGGTACATTAAAACTACGCATTTGAAGCATTGCTACACCATGAACAGATAAATCTTTTGAGCTTCAGTATTTTAATCTAAACATTTGCACAGCATTTTCCATCAAGAAAAAGAATTGCAAAGCATTTTCCAAAAGAAAAACAGAATCTAAGAAATTGAAATAGATATAATAAACAATTCCGTAGCAGCCAAACATCACAAAGCCCACTGAGTTGGACGGCATATATATAAATCTATAAAAACAATCCCGCAGATCACAGCAGTTAGCCACCTCCACCATCATCTTGGGTGAATAAAAAGGTATTGTAGCTGGTGATGAAGTTTCAAAGGTGTAACTGTCTGCCCTACTAGAGAAAGATAGTTTTATCATTACAAGAAGGCTATCTCACATACCCCACAGTTAAGCAACACTCACCAGAAGGGAGACACAAGAAGCAGAACTTCCTCCACTGATATCAAGGCAGAGGTAGGTTGGTATCAACAGAAGTGTTCTCTCAAATACCTAGCTACCAAGTTGTTCATGGCTTTCTATGTCAACAAGAGCACCTTAAATTGGGCCCAGTAACATATAGGCAGCCACTTCCCATCCTCCAAGACAGAAGTCTCATGAGACCACATGCCAAAAGTGATAGCACTCTAGCAGTAGTATTCTGCCCTAATCGCAATTTCTGTATTGTGCAAGGGCGACCCCCTGTATAGGGCGTTACAGAAGTCAATTAACTGATAAATTAAACAGGCATATGTGTAAAGCATTAAAAAATATATATAAGCAAACAGCATAGTTTGTTCTTAGATAATGTACTTGTTCCATAGAGGGTATCATTTTATAAGAGACATTCCCTTCTATGGAAGAGAGAAAGTGGAAATGACATAAGACGGTGCTTGCCATCTGCTGTTTTTCTAGGCATTTGCACCAATACTAAATATTACTAATTATTTTTAACAAGAAATCTGTTGGATGATTGGAGGCCCCCCCCCCAAATTAAGTAGTCTAACCACTGCAGTCCTGATTCTGAAGCACAAAGGAATTGAATTATACTTTTGATGTAACACTGAACTATGGAATTTAAGGGAATATTGCAAAATTCATAGTGATTATTCAATGCATGAATAAATACACATAAAAATAAAGAACACCCTGGCAGCTGTCTTTCATACAAAACATTGGTTTTAAAACAATTCAGGAAGTAAAATATGTTTTGACATTCCCCCCACTGATTTTTACCTGAATTTTACAGCATGTAATCAAGGGGTTCAGCAGTGCTCAACTTTGGATAGATCATGTTCTCAGTGAAAAATCCAACGACCAAACTGCTACCTTTAATGGATTGCACTGTTCCATTAAAAGTCTTACTTTTTATGACACATTGATTTGTGGATAGAATGCTTAAACAAACCCAAACATATATGACTGTATCTGACGAAAGTCACGATTAGAGCCACTGAAATCAATGGACTTTAGTCAATGGGTCTCCTTTGAGTGTGGCTTAGCTGGATACAAGCCAAGTGCATGCTGCTAGTATCCAACTGAATAATTTTTTGCATGTTAAGGATTTAATAATCTCTTGATTATCTGTACTGACAAATGTTTCATACCTCAACAGCTGGGACAATGTCAATGCCAACCGTCAAAAATTCTTCAAACTTCAAAAATGGATTAAAACAGCTGCCAACATCAAGTAATCTGATCTTTCCTGAAGGATGTAGCAATCTAAATAGAAGGGGATTCAAATTGTGAAATAACCTTTAAATAAATAAAATCTGAATCTTTTAGAAATTGCATTGCAATCTTTTAGAACAGGAAACATACAGCTGCAGTTATATAACTGGCAAATGGTGACATGTCCTGGTCATACTTGGTTGGAAATAAGCCAAGGCATTTCCCAAGAAACCTTGTCTGTCTCCATAAGCCCACAACTCCCCACATATGCAATTCCTAACCCTCTTCCTAGTCCCCTCCAAACTGTACTTCAATGTACTTCAGCTACTGAGAGAGGAAAGGAGGTCCTTGTTCTGAACCCATTTCTGAAGGGTTTTTTTCTTTTGGAGGGAGGGAAGGAGACTTCATATGGGTCCAAAAAGCAACATAATAATAAATTTATTTAGTGAAAGATAAATAGGTCCTGTTGTCTCTTGGGGAAATAGAGGTTTCCTGCTTCTGCTGAACTTTGCTTATAACACACAATAAGTTTAGTAATTGCACATCTCTTACAGTTTTTTTGGTAAAGAAATTAAGTTTCTATTGTTTAGACAATACACTTCAGGGTTCCTCTGGTGTTCTTCGGCAATACAGTTCTTGTTTGGCATGATTAGGCCAAATGTAAGCTTCTGTTAAGTCCCACTGATCTTAACAGAAACATTAGATCACATACATAACCCCCTTCAGTAAAATAAATAGGACTCTAAAATGCCTACTTAGTCTAGCATGCTAAATTCACAAAACACACACAAATGAACTTCCACCACCACCACATCTGCCCTCTGATAACACTTACTCATCCATTATAGAACTGTGATTTGAATTTTCAGAAGAATCCTCTATTTTGGAAGCTGGGTGAATACTCATGGTTTGAATACTTTGAGTAGCAAGAACTGCTCTTTTCTCATCTTTTTCCAGTGCTTTTCGTTTTCCACCATTTTGAAAATATTCCCGTGACACACTTGGGGAGAAAAAAAAGAGGGGGAAAGGCAATTCAAAATAGTTTTCACTATCATTTTCTAAAGGCACTTTCTTATCTATATATTTCAAAGAACAGAATATAATTATTCCTTATCTAGGTAGAATGATTTGAAGTGATTGTACACATAAAATTAAACAAATGGGTTTGTACCAAATGTTAATTAAAGTAATGTGATATAGTATCTGTTCAAGACCGTGCAGTTTATTCAGGATCACAAGCAATTAAAGTTTCTTTCCTTCTTTCTTCTTCTGAATCTTTTGTCTTATTAGAAGTGTTTTCCACACCAAGCTGGTGTTTATATATCTACAGGGCTTCCCTTCAGCTGTATCCCACACCCCATTTCAACCAGAACAAGCAACTAAAACTGTTAATCTGAAAACTAAGTGCTTTCATTTGACTACATGGGTAGAGTCCAAGGAATTGCCATTTCTACACTATAGGTGGGTCTTCACATTCCAGTAATACTGGGTAAATCTATTCTAGAAACTGGAACGAACAACTAAAATCCCTTTTAATCTCCACCTGTCTAGTGATGCAGTCTTAATCTATCAATTTAGTACTAGGCATGTGGTTTGAAAACAAAGCTTGGCAGCAGAAAACATCATGAAACATTGGGTTTGGGAAAGAAGGTCTCCATTTGTATACATTTGATAGAAAGATGTTTTCCATTCATTATTTGTTAAATACAAAGACTGCTACAAATATAAAGAAAACAAAACAGAACCCTGAAAGCAATTATATACAGAAACATATATTCTGTGGAAATGTATTTTTGCAATCTGTTCTCCTGTAGAAATCCTGCAAGCTTATGACCAAAAACAACTTTCTCAATAGTTTGCATTAGACCACTTACCTGCAACACCATTCAATGCGGCCCTCTCCTTCACAGGTTTTAGTCCAATGGTTATCTGCCAGATTTTTCATTGCCTCAGCGTATTCACAGAGTGTTTCTTCATCTTCACAATGTTCACGCCAGATTTTATCAAAGTCTCCCACTAAAAACACACAAAAAAAAGAGACCGGTGAGTATAATGGACGAGTGTTCATCAAACCCAGAGTCCGGCTTATTGTGGAAACATTGCAATGAGGGGAAGAGAGAAACCTAATTGTGCAAACTTAATAAACAGAAATAGCAGAAACCAACTAGCAACTTCGTTTTCTGTTTGGGTATAAAAATACAGTTTGGCTCTTCAGTCATATAGAAAAAAAAAGGTATGAAATATTTCCCTCAAACCCATTTGAGGATTGCATCAAGTTTGTTGAATTGGAAAGGAAACAGCCCTATGGAGCAAAAGAGATATTCTATTGCCCCATCTCCCAACTACCCACAGAAAGGATTACTCATTATTCAGAACAGAAAATTGGATTACAATTACCACGCCAATGCAAAAGATATTTTCAAAAGTAGCTCAAGAGCCTTGCCTACAATGTTTTTGAAGCTGTTTTGTTGAAAATATATACCTGGCATATTTAGTTTGACTTCGTTAAGGAAGTTACTCATATGACTAGATTACAACACTTCAGGTTTTCTCCCTTGTTTACTCTGCACAGTAACCTATCCTTTGCTATCCTACTTCCCTTTCAAGCTCATATTGGAGAAGCCACACAAACATTGATTGTGCTGCAGCGAAGAGATCTAGGGAGAAAAGTCATTCCTCCTTTCCCTCCCCTCTCTTCCAGGTCCCATGAAGGACCTTCACTACCCTAATGGAAATTTTTGCTTGTTTTTCTGGCTCAGCAGACAAACTACAATATCAGATTACTAATAAGACAAACTGTTTACCATCCAAGATTGAATTTACTCTAACCACCATTTCCTGAACCTTCTAAACTATGCTGATGTAACCGACACTGGAAAGCTGTATAATCTCTTCTAAATAACTGACTGATGTTCTCTGTTCAGTTCACAACTAGTAACCAATTCAGTGTTGCTCCAAATGGAAAGCTACCACTCTGTAGTATATTGGCAGGGAAAGCCTATTTTTATGTTACAAAGAGACATTAGATTCTAGGAGACTTTCAGCTTGTATTAAAGTCACCATTTTAAATATATTCCCAACTCTCAGCTATTACCCAATGTTTTTTTGCTTGTACTCCCTTAACCTGTTCATCACAGTAGGTACAGCATCATTTTGTTCACCCTTCAGGGACACCAGGGTAGGTTACTTGAAAAGTTGACCCAGACAATGCCAAAATACAGTGGTACCTCAGGTTACATACGCAGCATGCCATAAATCAAAATAAAATGGGTGCTAATAGATTTTACCCTCTTGCTCACTATGCTCTTTCAAAAGCAAAATTTGAATTCCAAAATATTTTACGAAACACTTAAGAAAAGACTAGGAAGCAACGTTGCATACAACTTCCTAATAATTATTTTAAACAGCTGTTATTCACCACTTGGATGCTTCAAATTATACCTTCCTTCATGTAAACAACCTGGGATTGGCATGCAGCTGCAATCTCATTATGGTATTACTGTGAACCGGGGTGGGTTGGCTATTGGTTTGTTTTTGTTCTTGTTTTTATTATGTTTTTTGTGTGTTTTTATCTCGTATTTTTATGTTGTGGATCACCCTGAGATCTATGGATGAAGGGGTGCTAAATAGTAAATAGTAAATAATAGAATTTAGTAAATAATAGAAATAAATAATACACATGTATCTAGTTATACACAAATGCCTCAGTAGCTGTAACCAACTGCAAGGCCACACCATCACCTCTGTGATGTAAGATTAAATCTCTCATAATCTGTGCAGCGATTCATGCTTTATATCTGTGCCCCCACCTTAATATAGTTAATAAATCATGTACTGTACACATACTGGGTATCAGGATGACATAATGGTTAAAGGAGAGCTGAGCCGACAGGTAGCTTAGATTGCTTTGAATTATAAAGTTATTCATATTTTCATAAGTATAATGAATATGTCAGGAAAAAGCTTCAACATAATGAAAGGATGCAAAGGGTCAAAGACTTCTCTGCATGCAGACACCCTTGAGTGTTGGTGTATTCTGTGGAGAGGAATCTGATACTGTGTGAATAAGTGAAAGATTGTCCAATCAAGTCCTGTCCCCCACCACCACAGGAAAGCCTCATAGCAAGCCTAGGGACCAGGTTAGGCTCAGATCTGGTGTCCCAAACATGTGTTCAATGGGTATCAGGCAAATACATTAGTTAGCTTGGAACCATATTCATGTATTTTTGTTTATTGGAATATGTATAGATTGCATTTCATAAAAATACAGCAAGGTGTTCTCTACCAATATACAGATGTATATTACTTGAATCACATTTGTATATTGGTAGAGAACAGTGGCACAGTTCAAAAGCAGTGACTGGACATTCATACTCCTTTCCCTTCCCCCACCTGCATACAGTACATTCATTTTCCCCCCTTACAATATAAATAACTTAAGGAACCATACATCATTGAATTGTCACATCTAAAGATACATAAAAGATTCCAACTAGAAAGCTTTGCACCTCACATTCCAATTAAACTGTGCACCTTATTACATATTTAACCTCCAAAACAAATATTTCAGTTCAACTAATTTTGACTACTAGATAAACTGTTCAACTATTTTTACTTCAATATTTGGTTGAATATGTTTTAGGTGTGGGTCACATATTAACAGTCCATAACAACCTTACTACACAGCTGAAGCACATCCAATTCAATGTAGATGTGAACTGATAAAATAAGACAAAACTATGGAGAAAGACTTGTGCAGAACTCAGCTTTGTTAAGTGTTGAACTTGTAACTTGCATTTTAAGTAAGTTGTCAACCTAAAAGGTCCATAAAGCCAATCATTAGGAGTGACTACAAAGGGCAACCACCCCCTCGTCTAGTAATCACATCTCCCCTTACAAGTTAATACTGAGATCCTAGTTCCCTAAATTCTGATGCAGAAATATTGAGAGGAGCCCTTCACCTCTCAACGTTTGGAGAAAGGACAAAGCTGTGAGAATATTTATAAGTTCCAATGGCTAAACTAAGATACAAAGATCCTTCTCACCCCCTAAGTCCTCATAAGAGAGCACTTGGGGAGGAATAGTGCTGGCATGGCAAGTGAAACTAGTTGGTGACGAAATCATGCTAAAATGTGCATACCCCAGCACAACTATATTGGCTCTCATTCGTGCCTGTGTTTGAAAACTATATCTTATCCACAAATCAGGGCTACAAGCACTGCACATTTCAAGAAAAGAAAGTCTTCTACAAGAATCAAAGTTTGTTCATTCAAGATTCAACAGTGGTAATGCTTTTATGAGGGTGGGGGGAACTTTCCAACAGTATGCCTGGAAAATACCACAACATGTAACACTGCCACAACACTAATGTAATTGCGATAATTCCAGAAAGTATGCCACATATACTAAGGATTAGGGTTCAAAGTTGGATCACCAACATTTCCTTTCACTACCATCTTTCAAAGTGACAGAAGGAGCACATCCATTAAAATGGCTTCTTCACAGTACATTCTTTGGAAAACCTACATCAGCTTATTAACTTCAAGACACAGCTGACACGATGGAAAATTGAAACTTAAGCCTCTGTGAAAACTATATACTCATCCCATTTAACAAATGGGAGACAACTGATGGGTTTTATGTGTATATAAAGTGCCTGTTTTCTTCTGATGCGTGCATTTTTACTCCAAGGAGGTAACAGTAAATGTACTTTGTCTATTGCTTTTTTGCACCTATTACGCAAACAAGTAAATTAAAGGCAGATCTGTAGTTTTACTCCTTAAATCTTTCCATTACAAGAAGGTCATACCTTCAGCAACTATGGGCTGAAAATTTCCATTTTTTGGTTCTGCCTCAGGCTAGCAGAGTCGAGCCCGGTCAGCATATGCAACCATGGAATCTCTTAGATATAGGTTCTCCCACCAGTTTTCTATGATGAAGCATATGGGAGACCATTAGCAACTGCTGATCCTGGAGCTCTAAAGAAGAGTGGATATACTTAAGAGATATACTAGCAGCGATGGACTGATTTCAAGTACTTGCTTTCTTTGATCTTCTGCAAGAAAACCCTGAAATACCACAAGATTGCATTTATTTCATTCAAAATAGGTGAAATGGTTTAACTGGAAATGCTACCGTACACCCACTTTGCTCCTTGTGTGCCAAGATTTCAGCTAGAAGAGGTCATAGACAATCTAGAAGCAAGGATGACAGGAACATGCCACAACATATGTAGAAACTACCATATCAGGAATGGCATTTCCTTCATCCACTGCAGTTATTAAGGTAATCAAGCCAAGTCCACAGGATAATCTTGCAACCTCTGGGAGGAAGTAATTGCCATCAAGGAAATGGCTCATACCTTATTTAAATGGCTGATGATAATATATAAGTAAAATTATTGTTGTGTAGCATCAATATACATGGTACCATCGCATTATACATGGCAAATGAGATAGGCCCCTGCCTAAATTTTTAGATGGGCAGTAGGAAGATACAACCCAGAGGGGCAAGGGTCACAGTGCATGGTTCCAAGAAAGTGCAGTTACACATACATTTGCTTCCTTCACTTGTAAATGAGGACACACAAAAAGCTTAATTACCAGAGTATCTGCATCACAGAAAATGGTTATGAACATTTTAGTCAAACTAGCTACTCAGTATGAAATTTACATTTCCACCTCTTTGACATGCAAAGAGGACTTGGGAATGTACCACATTCAAACAAGACTTTTATTTAAGGGTCAGCAGTAAAATTCCAGGACTGGATCTACCAAAGAGGCAATGAAATGCACCAGGATGCCATTTCTTTATTATTTTAGATCCCACACACTATGGGATCTTGTCAACCCTTCCGAAATCTTTTGATGAAGGGTGGTATATAAATCTAAACAAACAAATAAACAAAAATTGATACTAGTGGAGTGGTTAAGGCCATCTCAAGACCAAGGTTGCCTTATAATCCTTTTTCTATCAGCAGGGTTTCTCATAGCACAAATTTTTTTGATTTAGATTTTATTGCGGCCATTGGCCCATATCGAAAACAATACATCAGAATTTATCCATAAACAATACAATTTAAACAGTTCCAAGTTAAAACACCCTTATAAATCATAGCACAAATACAACATGTCTTTTCTACAGATGTGGTACAGATACATCTTACTAAAATGTGTCTTACTAGGATAAGAAAACCTATGCTATAAATATAGCTATAGTACAAAGCATATAACAGATGTATGAATTTTGGCTGACAAGTTAGGTTGCACTTGTGCTTGTTGTTTAGTCGTTTAGTCGTGTCCGACTCTTCATGACCCCATGGACCAGAGCACGCCAGGCACTTCTGTCTTCCACTGCACTTGTGCTTAAGACATATTAATCACACTAAATATATTAAGGGCTCCTGTTTGCTTACAGCAGGGGGCCGGTCCACTGTCCCTCAGAGCTTGTGGGGGGGCAGACTATATATATTTTTTTGGGGGGTGAACGAATTCCTATGCCCCACAAATAAACCAGAGACGCATTTTAAATAAAAGGACACATTCTACTCATGTAAAAACATGATGATTCCCAGACTGTCTGCGGGCCAGATTTAAAAGGCGATTCGGCGGGATCTGGCCCCCGGGTCTTAGTTTGCCTACCCATGGTTTACAGAGTATGTTACAGATTCCACCAAAATGCAAACAAACAAACAAAAACCCCACACATATTATCCCTGGTCACCCAAAACATGCCAGACAAATTAGAATACAAGACAATGAAAGCAGATAACTCAAGGTATGCTAGAAACAACACAAAGTTTTGAGTTGCAAAGACTTTCAAAGGGCAGCTGAATAAATCTCATCAAGAGGATGAGCTAAAACAATCTTGTATGTTATCCAATACCCTTATCAGATAGCTTGTTTTGCAAGTTTGTTAAACCTATTCGATAACATGAAAGATTGTTTTAGCTGACCCCTTGATGAGATTTATTCAGTTGCTCTTGGATAAGAGCCCAAGACCAGGGGTCGGCAACGTGTGGCCCATGGGCCAGATGCGGCCCATGAAGACCATTTTACTGGCCCCTGAGCCGCCCGTGAACCAAGCTGCCCACTCAGTGAGTCCCCCCCCCCCGCGCTGTGCTAAACCAGCGCATCAACTCGCCGAGCGGCGCCAGAAATTGTGTCTGTGCACATGCAGATACCGTAAATTGTATCTGCGCATGTCCAGACGCCAAAAATCGCTTCTGCGCAGTGGACACGTGCAGATGCGATTTTCGGCATCGTGCTGCGCCAGTCCGGCCCACGGACGATCTCCGTGGGAGTGATCTGGTCCATGGCCAGTAAACCTTGGCGACCCCTGCCCAAGACCTTAAGTATCTAGGGCCTGAGTATGTCACTTCTATTGCACTCTGTGCACTTCAGCAAACAGCTTGCACTAGGCCTCAATTCTCTCTCAGTAAACTCATATATTAGATATTGGATATGTGACATGCAAAGCGATGACAAGAGCTGGAAGGAGAGGTCTGAATTTGTTTCTTGCCTGGAATTTTCATATTGCCAAGAAGAGGGGTGGGGGACTGGTTACTAGGATTAATTACTCCACTGACATGATTTCATGCAAGTCCATGAAAAGTTAAACTAGCTGTTGCCATATTTGCCAATCTCAACATACATTCCATACTGAATGTCTTTCTAAAGGATGCAATGTATCAACAGGATGAAGGCTGGAGAAAGAGAAGCCTTGCAAGGTGAGATGCCTAAGAAATACAGACGTATGCAAGAGTCCATTTAACAAGCGGAATACCGAAATGGATAGCTTCAGAATTCCCAGTAGTCAACTCTCCAATTGCTTCCAAGTAACTTCATACCTCATAGGCCTTAAAATATGGGTGTGTACACCTGTTTTTAAGCAACAGAAATGTGGAAAACAGCCCTGAGAGCCCAGAAAAGGCCCTCATCCTTTTCACTGCCCACAAAGCCAGGAAAAGAATATGGTAGCATTTTCCCCATCTCCCTTCCGCAACTCTTTCACATCTTTAGCTTCCTGGACTTGCCAGGCGAAATCAGGAAAATAATCTGGAGCAGCAAGGCTGGAATACCCCCAAGTAAAAGCAACACCCATTATGCTGTACAGCTTCATAACATTCTGGAACAAAATGGCAGCATTCAAAACGGGCTGAGGAAACACTGCGAAGCCCTGGGACCATGATCACAGAAGAACACATTGCTTCGTGGCCTCCCAACCCATCTCTGCCACGGTGCTTCCCAGCAGGTAGCTGAAATAAAGAGGCTTGAAACTCCGGATTCATGGCCAATAATACTCTGAATTACACAGGATACTGTGTATGTTTTGGGGGTTTATGTCACGCCCTCTTAAAGCTTTGCGGGCAACCGCTTAACATCGTCCCTGTGGCCACTTTTCTGGCTCTTGATATTTTGGGGGGCGTGGGGGGGAGAGAAAGAGAGAGAGAGAGAGGGAAAGAAAGAAAGAAAGAAAGAAAGAAAGAAAGAAAGAAGCCATCGGATCCCATTTTGGCACAACGATGAAGATGGAACAACCACCGTTTCTTGAATGAAAGGAGGCCCCAAGGCGGCCGCCCTCTCCCCTCACAGGCCCGGGACCCCAGTCCCCCACAGCCGCCCTCCTGCCTTGCTCCTCGCCCGGCGGGGCCAGAGGCCTACAGGGCAGGCGGGGAAAGGGGGTGGGGCCCGCTCAGCTTCCCCGCCAGGCCTCGGCCAAGGCCTCGCTCCCCCCGGGCGACAGAGGGACCCCCCGCTTCCTCCCCTTGCTCCGTGGGAAGAGGGGCAGAGGGGCGGCGGGGATTCTCCCGCCTTACCTTCGCGGTACTTCTTGCGCAGCCGCCGGTGGACGCTCTTCACCACCCCGGAGAGCTTCTCCTGCTGCAGTTTCCGCTCCTGCTCCCGGGGCGGCGGGGGGCACGGGAAGGAGGCGGCGGCGCCCGAGGGGGGCCCCAGCTCCGGCTCCATAGCTGTGGTAGCGGCAGCAGGGCGCCTGCGCTCCGCCTCGCTCCCTCCGCGGAAAGGGGGCGGCGGCCGTCGCCAGACTCTTCTGCGCCTCACGGCAAGCCAGGCAGGCAGAATTAAAAGTCTGGCGAAGGTCACGTGGCCCGGCTCGTCTCCCGTGGCTTGCTGGGAAGTGTAGTCTCGCGCCTTTCTTTCCTCTCAGGCGCAGCCGCCGGAAGCGCTGCCCGTTTCCGGATGCTTCGTTGTTGTTTTTCCCACCACCACCCCGCTCCCCGTGGCTTGATGGGAAATGTAGTCCTTAGGCCTTTGGAATGTTGCTAGCGCTTCTGCTGCCATGGGAAGCTCTAGGAAGCAAGCATATGCACCAGCGGCGACGCCTAAGTGTAAAGGGGAGGCAGGTTCTCAGAACTGTGGATTATAAACCACCTAATGCGGTCCAAGTGACATGAAGATCCACCTCCTGCTCGTAACATGATGCAAGGAAGACAAATTATCCAGTTTTTACATCCCCCACTCATAGGAGCCAACTCCTAGGGGCCACCGGGGCTTTGCCTAACAACAGCAACAATTTATTCTTTATACCCCGCCCACTCATAAAATATTTGAGGGGACCACACAAACCCCAAGTTGATGGGCATTGTCATTCAAATACTGTCTCTGCACTGCATTATGTGATCAATTATGCAAAGCGGGGCTTACTTGCCCTCCCACCCAATATTTTATTCACGTTGCCCCCCCTGCCCTCCCTTCTTTGTAATAAGAGATGCTTGTAGGGCTTGGTTTGGTCAACACTAGTAATGTAATACATTTGTTTAAAAATACATTAAAAACAAACTTGTAAAAAAACCCTAACAAAACCACTCAATCCAGGGACAAGGGAGATTGGCAAGGTTTGGGATTATCCTGCTGTGTCCCCCAGTTCACCTCAAGGGCAAATCCATTGGCTTCATTTTTATCCTTTCTGCTTTCTCTCTTGCCAGTCATTCGTTTGCTCTTGATTTTGTACAGATTAGTCAATTTTTTTAATCATTTGAAGGAGCCTGAACTTTTCCACACTCATTTATAGTGTTATTCAACCTGTCCACATTTCCTAAATGCCAATTTCAACCCCTGCCAACCTCTGAATTTGGGCATTCGTTTAGAGCATGGGCAGGCAAACTAAGGCCCAGGGGCCGGATCCGGCCCAATCGCCTTCTCAATCCGGCCTGAGGACGGTCCAGGAATCAGGGTGTTTTTACATGAGTAGAATGTGCCCTTTTATTTAAAATGCATCTCTGGATTTTTGGGGGGCCTGCCTGGTGTTTTTACATGAGTAGAATGTGTGCTTTTATTTAAAATGCATCTCGGTTATTTGTTGGGCATAGGAATTTGTTCATTTTTCCCCTTCAAAATATAGTCCGGCTCCCCACAAGGTCTGAGGGACAGTGGACCGGGCCCCTGCTGAAAAAGTTTGCTGAGCCCTGCGTTACTAAGTGTTCAACTCCTATTCATATCTTGCAGTGCATGCATCAAATCAACCTCTCGTGCCAAATTCCTTCTACCTGTCTATCTTTAACCGGTACCATACTATTTCATATTTAACTTCAAGCATGTAGCTTTTTTTAATGAGAGAAACTACATAGATATATTTTTTGAAAAGTTGCAAAACAAAGGCCATGTTGTTCATAGGATGGGAAACCAATACTAAAATGTCATAAACAGAATTGTGATATAGGGTCACAGTGAAAAATTGAAACTACAGTTCAAATATAAAAGAAGTCTCATATTTTATTCTGAACTTGAAGAGTTGTTAGATAATCAGAAAGATAACCGGGCTGGCCTGCTCCTATGACTTTAAGAGCAGCTTGATGTACAGACATCAGCAGATGAAGCCAGGCCATTTTGATAAACATTATAGCCTGCTAATGTCTGCACATCAGGGTATTCTTAAAGGAACAGCTGCAGTGGTTATTTGAAAATTACTTAACTCTAGGTGCCAACCACCCCAACCTTCTACTTATCTAGGGTTATTATCCCTTTTCTGTCAAGAGAGCTGACAAAAGTTAAAAAGGTCATTATTTCTTGGTGGTAGTTTTGGTTAACATAAGCAATATACAGAAGCAGACACACACACACACACACACACACACACACACACACGTACAGTATGTGTATATGTACATATATAAGGATCTGCATTCAGAGCCACTTTCAATTGCATATTTTGAAGTTATCAAAGGTAACTTCTTGTTTTTATTCCTTATTCCAAGGGAGTTGGACTAGATGAGGTGCCTTCCAACTGCACAATTCTATGATTTCACCTATGTTCTTTTGGCATGTCTAACGCAACACAAGCATTATTAATTTTAAGCAAACAGGTGGGAGCCAGACTAAGTCTGCCATCCTAGGTATGCTTACGAGGAAGTAATTTTGATTAAACCCAACAAGTTACTCCTGAACAAACAAAGAATTGCACTGTAAGTTGCATTTAGTTCCCAGTGAAATAAATGAGACCCAAGTCATCACTAACTTTTTCAAGTTTTTAAAAAATGGGCCCTGTGTAACAGTGCAATCCTCTGCACATTTACTCGGAGACAAATCCCACTCAGTTAAATGGAGCTACTTACAGGTGAACATGCCTAGGATTGCAGCCTTTGTCTTGATTCAATCCAAAGGCTGGGTGCACCACAGAAATTATGTTTCAAACATCTGTTCTTAAAGCTGTAGGGAGCTGTAAGTACTTCTTAATGTTCTCCATCATGCTAAAATGATATACTAAGCACAACAGGAACATGGGGACATGTTAAAATATAATATACAAGACGCTTGGATGATTTCTAGGAGACAAACTTCAGGTTACTATTTCAAAACCAGGCCTATCTTGAGGGTATATTGTACTGGATAAGGAAAGACGCTAACAAAATCACATCTAGGCACTTGCACACCTAGATAGATGCCCGTTCAGGATTATCAACAACTCTGTGCTATCAAGAACACTAAGCGACCTTTCCACACAATGGTGCCAAAGCAGCTAACAACAAACAAGATAAAAGGCAAGAGAAACAGTCCTGTGAAACACAATGCATAGAATAAGAAGGTAAGAATCCCCAGCCAGTTGAGTAGGACCCTGGTAGAGACACATGCCTGACTGGAATGTTCTCTCCCTCCTGGTCGTTCCTTCGGGAGCTTCAAAAGCTTTCTTCAGCCTGAACATCACATTGACCGATGCCAACAGACACCGGCACACTTAGGGATCCACAGAGTCTTCGCAGCTTGCATAACAGACCTCAGCAACTCAGCATTTTGGCTAATCTACTTTATTTACATATAAACACACACGGAACACTGCAAGATGGCTCCCTCTCTCTCTAGCATCAGACAGCAAAGAGAAAGAACAAAGAACAATAGTCCCACTTCACGGAACACAGTAACACAAATATCCTGTCTCCATCACTTCCCACTCTGTGGAGTCAAAACATACACCATCATGTGATAGACAACAATCCCATGACTGCAATCACAGAGCAGGAATTCTAACAGAGAAGACACGCACAGTAAGTGAGCTTTATCCTTACTACTGTGTTCAGCACTAAGGAACCGAATATAAGGCCTATGTGTTTTGGTTCTCATCCTTTCCTCTTATTTAAAGCACCCCTACCCATATAAACCTCCCTAAACAATGAGGTACATCCTCTTCAGAGGCCCTTTGTGACTCACCTACTAACAGACAAGTGGACAAGGACTAGGGTCCCCCCCCCAGGCATCTGTCCACACACCCACAACCTGTTCTTCTGCTTTTTCAGCATGGGGCAAAACCCATTTTATGCACCCAGGATTTTAAGTACAATTTTCATTTGTGATTCAGGTTCCACATTTTAATCCTGATTTCTGTCAATTTGTGTGACTGATTACTGTAAGCCACACAGGAAAACTCAAAGCAGGCCCAAAAGTGAGTAAAAAAAGAAAATGCATTCATACTTACTCCTGCTGCTCTCGCCTGATGCGTTGTTTCCCCTTATCGTTATGTTAAACAAGGTAAGGCTAGAAGGGCCTGAAGTGTGCTTTCTTGATGTGTGTAGCACAGCCGCTGTACTCAAGCCCCTAGGTACCCTATACACTTACAGCAATCCTCTCAAACATGACACCTGTGCCAAATAATCCCTTTACCCAATTGGTGGGCTGGCCAGAAATCTGATAGCCAGATAATTAGATGGTGGGGTGGACCTGAAAATGATCTGCTAAGAATACTGCAGAATCTAAATGTGCACTTTTCTTTTTTTTTACCTTAATCTTTGTTATATTCATTCATATATGACATAAGTTGGTAGAATAGGTGGCTCAAGGAAAGAATAACGCCATTACTATTAGATTATCCCCCATCCATCCCATGCTCTCTGCACCTTGTCTCTATTCTGTTCCTTCCACAGCATTCTGCTGTACAGAAATGTGGGGCCTTTTCTGGTATGCTGATCATTAAATAATGCTAAAAGCTTCCCATATTGCTAGATAGTTAAGTCACACCCTCTCTCCTCCGGAGAGGAAGTGAAGTTTCTTTCCTCTTCCTTCCTCTCTCTCTCTCTCTCTCTCCTCTCTCTGCATCATGTAGCCAACAAAGACAGATTCAGACCTCAGAGCACATGTCTGAAGCTATCTTGCTGTATTTTCTACTGAAGAGCATTTTGATTGTTTTATCCTTGCTGTTGCATGGAACAATGCATGACTGAGTCCTTGAATCTGTAAGTATAGCATTTTAAACTTACTTAACAGTGTGTGGTCTGCTCGTTGCAAGAGAGGGTAGAAAGAGGTTAGCTGCTGTGTGTAGCTGAAGCTGGATAAAAAGGTTTAACAGCCTATATTCCTGATGCTTCACTGTGCTGTTTATTTTGTGAATTTAATACCCTGCAGCTGGAGATCTCTGTGTACTAGCCCCATGTTATGAATTCAGGCACCCAACCATTTCTTTTTGTTGTTTACTCACACATGGATTCATATATTTAATTCCCCACACTTCATGCTCACAAATG